TGTTGGGGGGCGCCCAGGACCAGGGTTGAGAAACACTGCTTTAGATACTCCACAGTTGCTAGTGCCACAAAACCTGGTTCATGAAGCCGAAAAATGATGTGGTATTTTCAACCGAAGTTTTTGCTTTTAGAACAGTGTTGTTATAGTACATAATAAATGGCAAAAATATGTCCTGATGAGTGATGAAGTTTTCTTGCTGTGAAGGAATGGGCCTTGGTGAGGTGATGTAGCCATCTATAAAAGGCTTCAGCTGTGTCAAAATTCACCCCAGCTGACTTCTCTTACCTCATTCTAACTCCCCTGGACAAGAATTAGAGCCAGCTCGGTTTCAGCAAGAGCCACTGGTGCTCTGTTATGAAGGAGACGCATTAGATTTCATCCTGATGAACTGATGCTTTGCATTTATTTGGTTTAAGTGAAAGCATCATCTGCAGGCATCTTTTTTTCTCACTAATTTCATGTTTTGAGAGTGTTGGATATAGCTGTGTGTTTTTAATTGTAGTGATCTATCATAGGCCAGATCGTAAACTACCCAGGAGTACAATGATGTCACATAGTAAAAGTAACTGGAGATAAGACTCTCTTATACTGGCTAATGTTGACATTTTTGCTTTCTTTTAAAGAAATTATTCCAGGTTTAATATCTGTTTAGCTCAATCGATATAATTTGGGTTACAAAAATCTGGGTTACATGAGTCACTCGCGATGGAAGTGAATGACGCCAGTCTGTAAACATTACTCAATACAATACTCAGTGTTTCAATAGTACAGCCACAAGACATCAGCAATATTCGTGTTAACATGATTTTAGTGAGAGAAAAAAACATAAGACTACTAAGCTTTTCTATGTGAAGCTATATCCAATTTCACAACTTTGTTACCTTGACAACATAATGTAAGCTCTAAAACGACTGTACAAAATGATGATTTAAACAGATTTACAGCTCAAATAATATACAAGTTTTAATAGGGGCTTTTATAAAATTATAAGTTACACATTTCTTCTTTTAAATCCTCTAAAATTGGCCCCATTCACTTCATTGTAAGCCCCATTTTGGAGTCTTTTAAAAAGAAAACTAAAGACAATTACCAATTATTTTAGGTGGTGATCAACATTATGCCGCAAATGTTTTAATGATTTTGACTTTATCAAATTAAGATCAGACCAAAAACCTGTAAAAGCATGTGTTGCAGAAAAGTTTTTTTTTAATTCCCAGTCATTATGGACCTGTGGACTTGCATACAGAAATGCAAGGTGTAAAATCACATGAGGTTGAATGGAAAACAGATGTGAAGTTCATTACATCGAGGTTGATGTATTTGCTCAGTAAACTGATGATGGCAGTGGGGCTGGAGGTGTAGGGATCAGAAAGAGAAGCGTGCTGGGATCTGGCATTAGTCAGAGGGATGCAGCAGATAGATATTGCAAGGATTTATGGATGACAGCTTTAGGATTAGGTAATGTGGTTTGTCTGTGAAAGCAGGGAATTACTGGAATGTTGAGACACTGTATTCCTGGTAAAGCAAGGAATGAGACCTGTGTGTGTGTGTGT